CAAGCTCACATTACTCTGAGAAGCACAGAGCGAAGACACAAGCCTGAAGATGATGAATGAGACTTCATCGAAATGTTGCCTAGATACTTCCAATCTTATGCAGGAGAAAACCCGAATAACCAAAGATCCATATAGAGAGAGAGCGAGAGGGAGAGAGATAGATAGATAGATAGATAGATAGATAGATAGATAGATAGATAGATAGATAGATAGATAGATAGATAGAGATAGATAAAGGCTGTTACCATTCCATTGTAAGTGTAATAGACAAAGCGTTTTCCTTGTCGTCTCAAATTTCCTTTAGCCTTTCCAAGACTGTATGAAAACTTCTAATGTAGAAGTTGGATTTGAGATATCCTAAATATTAAGTAATCCAAATGTTTTATATGAGCCACTCTATATGTTCAAATGGGCATCATAAATTGGTGTAATAACCAATCAAATATTTGTTTCAGTTTCAGATGTATTTAATTTTTAAAAAGCAGTTGTCATATAGGGTCTTTTCTGTGACAAATAAAGTTAGAAAATACTTCTAACTAATTACAGTACTATTGAACTTCAAATGTTTCATTACTGGATTACACTCCTTAAGAAAGCTGTCAAACTGTGTCTCAATGGTACAATTATAAGCAACAATGAAATGTGGTTTTGTTAAATAGTTTATATATTGAAGACTTGATAAAATGTATAATCAAGAGCAGGCTTAATATTATTTAAAGCAGGATTCAAATAATTCAAAATAATATCCATCATACATATTGGGTGCTAATCCAAAAAGTTCATTTTGTTTATTTTTAGTTCAACTTAATAAAAGCTAATATATCTATATAAAAGCAGCTGCCTTACTAAGAATGTATAGACTGTGGATAAGTTCTATGGCGTGATGACTGAGGGTGTTTCAGGTAGTTAATTGTTTAGATTTCTAAAAACAAAAATGGACATTTAAAATTTTAAATACGCTTTCCAGCTTCAGATAGCTAGATTTTGATGTAATATCTAAGCTAATTCCTGGACCATAAGTGAATTAAAAATTCAGAAAATCCTAAGAGTACTGTGAATACAGTCTCATTTTTCCAAGTCAACCAAATGTTGAAAAATGTGTTAAAGGACTTGGGATTAACAGTCCAAAAGCAGGGAGGGTAAATAATGAAGATTGAACAGACTGATGTCGAATTTGATATGATGGAAGAAGCTTGGAGAAAGAAAAAATGAGTTTGAAAAAATGGGCCAGATCTTATCAGGGCTATGGATTAAAAAGTATTACCCCTATGGGAGAGGCAATTGAGCAGAAGCTCAAAATGTGCTTATCCCAATTCTAAGATAAATTTTCCGACCATGTGTACTAGAGCTGAGCCTATAATGCCATTTTGTACTTCCTGTTATACACAGATTCACATGCACTTAGATGCTACCTGAGGGAAAAGTATGCATGCTACTTCATTACACAGCAGTAATTATAGATATTTTCTACCACTATCTACCACTATTGCTGTTAGAAAAAAATTCCAAAAGCCAATTCTTGCTTGTCTTCCCTATCTTGTTGATTCTGAATAATATTGAATTATCATAACATGAATAACCCTGCTCCCTGATTTTCACAGGACTTTCCTTCCCTGAAGCTGCTATAATGCATACATTCAAGTGTAGCATATCCAGTTGGTTCACCTGCAATGCACCCCAAATTTTACTTGTTAAAATGATCTCTAGACAGACAGACAGAGTGGCTGTGTATGTGAAGATGTCAAATGCCCTTGAATATCAAAATTTTGATCCAGCATTATTCAGGATTTTTATAAAGAATATGAAATGAATTGAATGCTTGTAACATTGGTGAATTGTTTCTAATCAAAGACTAAGCTGAACATTGGATCAATTCTAGCAAGATGTTCAGTTAAGATAAATGTGAAGTCCTGCAGATTTAATGTCTAAGATTGGAGGAATTTTATGTGGGATATAGGAAAAGTAGCGAAGCTCCTGCTGACAATGAGCAAGCAAGCAAATTCACTTGTAGTCTGCATTAAAAGCATTGTTTTGATATCATGAGAGATATTTGTTCTTTGGTAATCTGAATTAATTACCCCAAACAATGTATACAATGTTAAGTTCTGAGCACTAGACTTTGAAATGGACTTATAGATCCTGAAGAAGGTTCAGGGATGATCTTCCAGGCCATTAAGATGCCTGCATAAGAAATCTGCATACTAATATGGAAGGCTTCAAGAACCATGGACATCTGGTATACAAAAGAAAAGGCTTCGTGCACATGATAGTCATAACAGTCATAACATAACAGATAGTCTTAGTATCCTATGACTATAACTAAATGTTGTATCTTATGATTCTTGATGAATATATATTTTTATGTACACTGAGAACTTCTGCACCAAAGACAAATTCCTTGTGTGTCCAATCACATTTGGCCAATAAAGAATTCTATTCTATGACAGTAGTCAACAAATATGTAAAAAGCTGTTACACAAAATGTAAGAATATACATGTATTGAAACTGAGAGTGGGCAAGAACAAATGAATATAAAAGGAAGTTTCCAAGCGGTAAAAGCTGTTGAACTGTGGAATAGTCTGTCCACAGTAATGGTAGACTCCCTGCAGGAGGTCTTCAAAGGTGGGTTGGATGGTGGTCATATATAGCTTAGCTGACTTGTTCATTGAACGTAGGGTAAACTAGATAACCTATGATTTCCAACTCTAATATTCTATGATTTTTTAAATAATCATAATTACTTGTTATTTCATTTTAGATAATTCAGGGCAGAAATCTTCAAAACTGGAGTGAACATTTAAAATCAGTTTAACAATACAGAATATGCCATAAGTATGTCTTCCGTGTAACAACCTATTCTCAAACATTTTGGTGGATTTTTGTTACCAGTTTTCTGAAAAAGATTCTATGATGTTACTAACATGATCTGTTCACCAGGGAAAGAACAATGCTGGAGAGAAAGTCTACATCAGAAACTTAAATTACTTTAATAGGTACCTCTACTCCTTAGAGAACTTCAAAACTCTAAACCTATAAACGAGACTAGGATTTTCTAACTTTACCAAACTAGAAATTCACAACAGTTAAATTTACAGAACACATCAGTGGCTACATAGCTTCCTTTTTTTCCTCTCCTGTGGAGAGCCTCTTATTTCCTCACTGAAGACATCAGTAATGATGAACAAGTTTACTACATTATTTGTGCAGTGCTAACCACAGGACATTGGATATGCTCTAAAATGTATTGTTTATTCATTCTGCTTCTGAACAATGGCAGTATGTTTGCGGAGCTTTGAAAGAGAATCTCCTGTTTTTTGTTTCTAACAGCATGCAATATGCCTTCTTGATACTTACCTTTTCTAATATTTATTGTTTTCTTTCAAAGAACTGAGAAGATTTGATCTTGCACAAATGGCTGTCATGACAAATATGGCCCGATAAAAGCAACAGTTAACAAAATAGTTCCTGCCATCCCATCTTGCAGGATGCTTCTTATTATTTCTGATTTTTTTTTCTTCCTTTCATGCTTTTCATGGGAAGGTGGGTGTAATGCCAACAAATCCTGGGCTGCAGCTGCCATTCATTTTTATTTTCTAACATTTGAGTCCCGAAGGTATTCTTTAAATTTCTGCTTCTAAAGTTTGGCCCTTTGCTTTGCTGATTATAAGCTTCCCTTTTTAAAAATAGAATGACCTTTTTAAAAGTAAAATGTCAAATAGGTAAGGAAGGAACCAAGGGAAGGTCATAAGTAAGTTGGCGCCACTCTAGATTTAATACCTATCTGAAAATCCTTTTAAGCTGATGAGGTAGGAAGAATTCTTTGTCTGCGAGGATTATTTACTGTTGTAAAAAAGCAATCCAATACTATATTTCCTTTTGCTGAGTTCTTGCTGTGTTAGAAACTGTTGCAGGAAGTGCAAGCCACAGCATATACTTCAGACAAATGTGATTCCCTCTCACTTTGAAATATTTAAGTAGCATCCATGTGCAAGATGTAGGTTTAGCCATCTAGTACTTCCCAGTATTTTTCAATTGCCATGCTGAGTAAACCTTACAAAAACTATAATGTGAAACAGATGGAAGGCACCTCTTTGCCTATCGCTCTTACATAAACTTTGCACTTAGTGCTTTGCTTCTGTGAATGACTTGGCTGACCTGAAGTCTGAACCTATAATCTTTTAGTGCAAATGCTGTTGGAAGAGGTTCATGGTGTAGATTCAGTGCTTTTTATATTCAGGAAAAGCTACAATGATGTGGGCATTCTATTTTTATGCTTAAAAGCTACCATAAAGAAGATTAGCTTTAAAATAAATCAAAGTTTGAAATATGAGCATTGCCTCACAAAAGACCATAGAAAATTATGTCTGGAAGGATTTTTTTTCCTAGCTTTTTTTTTTATTAAATAACAATAGGAAGACAGGAAAACAGTACACTGCTTCCAAAAAAATTCTGCATTTAATTTTAGAACCATCATCCAGTGCCTCAGAAAATTGTGCAATGGTGTTGACCTGAGTTTAAGCTTTAGTCTTCAGAGAGAAATGATCCCATTTACAGATCATTCACTATAACTTAATAGGCAATATAATTTAATAAAATCAATGTAATGTAATGCAATATAATTTAATAGGGAATCATTTTGGAAAGGTGTTTCTTTGGAAAGGTATTACTGTGGTGGATAGTGCTTAATCTGATCATAAAAAGTCACACTTGTTTAAATAGACATAATGTCTCAGTATATTCAGGATTGCTACAGTGAAAGAAAAATAATTGTCTATCATCTATATTGGATTAGCCAAAAAGACATCAATGCTTGCCATCTTTGATTATAACAGATAAGTATTGTGTCTTTTAGCCATAAAAATTCCCCACTGGATAAACATGTTATAAATAGGCCAAGATTTGGCGGGAAAGTTCTGAAAATCACATTGTTATATTTTTTGGTACAGCTTTTTGAAGGATAATATTATGCTACCTGGTATTGAACCTATATGCTGCTGCATGTCTCAAGAAATTGTCATGGGATATGACCTAAACAAACTGAGGCAGCCACTACTTTAATCTCTGTGAAGGAGTTTGGAGAAAAGCTCTGCAGGTGCACTCTTTTTAACAACAGCAACAATAAAAAAATCAAACATTACAAGGTTTTTTTCAGGAGCTATTTTATCCATGCATCTGTTATACCCAAGATTATTTTAAAAAACCAATGTATCAGAAGTATTTAAGAAAAACCACAAACTCTCTTTAAGGAACCACCCTATCCATTTTCTATACTTACAAGGATGTTTTTTCTGTTCGTGATTCATTTGACTCCAACATCAAGGGAACTGGAATAACGATTAGGCTAAGGAATGCATGTGTTTCTGGGTTTTGTCCCTTTCCAAAAAGCTTTATGAATTTTTGATTCAGTGTTAAATAAATATATCGCCATAGACACTTTAGCCACTGTTAATAAAGAATACCATACTACTGCTGCAGCTTCTTTCCTTTTTAATCCAAATCTCTCTCTCTCTCTCTCTCTCTCTCTCTCTCTCTCTCTCTCACACACACACACACACACACACACACACACACATTTTTATTGCTTTATTTGATATATCCAGACTCAGTATAAAATGGTAAAAAGCAGAAGCTTATCAAAGTGCTAAATAAAATTAATTTTAATTTCACTTTATGTTCTATTTACTCTTTATAGGTCTGTATGAGCTGCTGGCTTCATTGCCGGCCCAGCTGCAGCCACATGTGGACAACCAAGAAGACATGACCTTCCTCTGGGATATGTTTGGTGAAAAAAGCCTTCATTCTCTGGTAAAGGTAAACCACACTAAATGCTCATTCTTTCTGAGAAACATGTATGGAAAAACGTTTTGAGCAACCTCTCGTATACCAAGAATCAGTTACTCCGTGGAAACAAAACAGCCTTGTTTCGCTTCTGTGCTTCTGTGAGGGATGGAAGTTGTTAAAGGTTTCTACCAAAAATATTGCAATGATTTCATTTAATAGTGATGTTTTGGCAGAATGCATTAATGTAACAAACATATGATGCTTGCCCTTGTTTAGAATGAGGCAGCATGAATTAGTAGCAGGAAATCTGAGACTCCTTCATGGTCAACATTCATGGCCTGGAGTTTAGCTTACATAAACAAATGTTCACAGCAGAAATTAGATGGCATATATTTTTGAGGTAAAGTATGGCAACTATTCAGTAGCCACATTAATTTAAAATAATTTCCTTTAACAAAATCAACTGAAATTATAGTTGGTTCTTTAATTGGATTGTATCCATCAAAGATTGTGTTTTGTATATAAATACACTAAACTTGTATGACTAAAATAAGCATAGTGAAGTAATTGAAGTGAAGTAATTAATGGATATGTGTCTTCAAAAATGGTAAATGTTCATGTATATTGTACTTTATTATTTACAAAATTATTTGAAGTTTTGGTTTCATAATTATCATGAAGCTTTTAGTTTACAAATTGGAAATTAGACTTGTAAAATATGTGTAAAATAAGTCTGCTACTTGGATTTTATACTAAATTTGGAGTCTCTAGCTTCTTGAAGAAATCTGCATTTCTATAGCAGAAAACAGAGGGGAAATTATTCTTTTAGACTGACAATTCTTTATATGCTTATTTAGATATTTATAAATGATTTGTATGTTGTTTAGTCATGGATTCCAGCGAATTTACAATTGTAAAAAGGCAGTAACAAAATAACATCTCACAAAGCTGTTAGTTGGCTTAACTGAAATTTTTATCATGTTGTTCATACCTTCCAGAACATTAGCTTACAGTGAGGGATGTCCAATTATTCTACAGCGAGGCAATTACTACTAAGAACACCATCCTCCAGGTCTCTTTAATTTTGCAGATGCAAGGATCCCATAGGCTGTCTACTGACTAACATATATTGGCTGGCGATGATCCTGGAAGTAACAAGGCAATATTTATGGCTGCATTTCTGCCAGAAGACAATTAAAAAAAAATACTTTAGGATGTTCTGAGTTGATAAATCTTTTCTTAGTTTGCAATAAAGGAGTGCTTTGGGATATATTACTGCATCAGAAATATGCCTAAGCATCTTTAACTCCATTTGGCCAGATGGCTTACTCATTATATAGTAACTGCAATTATTAAAGCACTTGAAATGTCTCTTAAAGGTTAACATAGTATTCAATACTAATCTGGAAGAACCCCTTCTGAAGGAAAAAAAAGAGGGAAATTTAGCTAATTGTTGGAGATTTATTCAAAATGGAACATTTCAGATGATACAGTCATGTACTAAAATGACTCGGACAATTTATTTCATCCCAATTTTGTTCTGGCAGATTCCCTGGTATTGAGATACTTATCTTTTTTAAAATAAATATCAATTATTTGGAAACTAACAGGGACGAAAACTAATATGGTGCAGTGCTTAAAAGTGATTGAAACAGTGGGGAAACTCAGGCTCAAGTTGATAGTCAAGGACAGAAGCTTACTGTTTAATTTTAGGCTTGGTAATTTTTTCTTAATTCATCATAACTTCGGGAGGGTTGCTTTGTGGGGAAAAAAGAGGAAATGTTGTCTCCATGTACTTCACTTTGTGCTTCAAGATATAAGCACAGATACAAAACTAATAAAAGGAAAGATCACAAAGGTAGCTGTTGCCGTTCTTAAGGTTGTAAAGTATTAGACATTTTCCCTGATCAGCACAGGAGAATATTTGTAGCTCAAGGTTGAAATGAGGGGTCCTTGATGCTCTCTGAGCTTGTTTGTTTTTTTGGAGACATTTCAGTACCCAAACTAGGTAACATCATCAGTGCTGGTAAGGAGTGGGCCCTCTGACAAATTAGCCATCAAGAAAGTGCCAAAGAAGCCAACAGTAAATAGCCCAGCCAAAGAGTCTCTAAGACCACCCCCACCAACAGCAACAGGGCAAGGCATTAGAATATAAACCGAGAGCAAACCCCACTTCTTAACCAGTAATGATGATATTACCTAGTTTGGGTAATGAAAGATCTGCAAGAAAACAAACAAGCTTAGAGAGTATAAAGAAGCCCTAATCTTTCCCAGTCATTTACATAAAGACCTTATTTCCCCTTTTGTATTTCTTGATGAAATTTATATAGGGAATGTTTCAAACATTGAAGAGTATATATTGGTTTATATATAGTAGTGTTCCATTTTTCCCAAAGTTAAGTGAACTAATTTAAATATTACTAAAATATTTTTATAACATGAAATTTGGAATAAGTTTTTTGTTTAATATATACAGTATATAATTTATGAGCCTTTTTCATTTTAATTTTAAAAATTGCTATCTTGTACAAATTGTTTAATGTTAGAAGAATGAATTAGATGAAAGAAAAGATCCTGATCCAAATAGACAATATGCTTTGTCTGATGTGGAAGGGGTTTTTTTTTGTTCTAGTTTTACTTAAAGAATAAAATGCATCATTTGTGTTGTTAAAATCAATCCTTGCCTTGAACCGATAGATAATAATTCATGATATTGTAAGATGCTTCTGTTCCCTAATACTAATATTCAATTCCCCTTCTCTACATGCTGTACCATCTGAGGTGAGGCAGTTAACAAAAATAGAAGTAATGTTCTATGCGTGGAATGTTTACCCATGTCATCTTATGGGCTTTTGTCTTAGTTACCATTTACATGGTTATTTAATTTGTAATCTTTGAAAAAATAATAAAAGATACCACCTTAGTTCACCAAGAACTATTGTTATTCAAGAAGAGGGTAGTTCTCTGACAAACAAACATTATGTAAGGATCCACTGAGGCCATTTAAATTATTCAGGTGCCTCATAGGAAAGTAGTTCCTATGTTGTTCCATAGCAAGTAGTATTTCAGGTGTGCTGTCTGTGATCAGAGAGGTAGAAAACATCTTGATCATCATTGAATTTGTCTGGTACACTTTAAATAGCCTAAATTATTGATAGTCATTGAATGACAAAATTTTTCACAATTTAAACAGGTACATAGAATTGTTTATTTTCACAGCTTGTATGGTAATCTAATACATTTTTCTATAATGCCCATCTGCAGGATGTGTTTAGGATTTTTCCTCCCGCTTCCTGAAGTTATTCCTCTGAATCCCAAAGTTTTTATTTTGTTACTGTCTTAGCTAATATGCTGGGATAGATCTTTCCCACATTAATATCTCTTAATTGCATGATAAAGGCCTCTAAGGCTCAAAGTAGACATTAATTTAAATAGTATCCTTTTCTATTTAGCATGCTTGTTTCAAAATATAAAACAATCATTTCTCAGAGGATGTCATGGTAAGTTCCGTATTCCAGTTGCATTCAGTGCCAATTGACAGTCATAAATAGTTTTTTTAGAACTGTTGAAAATACGGAATATATTTTGTGGTAGAACACATTTTGAGCGCTCATATTTTCTTCTTAACGTGTTTATCAACTAAATTTAAATTCCTGTATTTGAATTTATTTGATGCCATTACTTTGTGTAAGGTCACTTATCTCATTCTGTGCTGCTATCATATTTTATTATTTACATGTATCTAATGCATTATATTATCTTTAGCTCTCAGTCTTTCCGTCTGGAATCTGAGGAAGAGTTGTAAAGCAAATATTGTCAGGCTTTTGTTCTCTTAATTTGTAGCTAGCATTCTTGTTAAGAAATGTCTGAACTGCAATATTAAAATACCTTTACAACTTTGCTTAATATGTTTGCTGTGCAAATGTCATGATGCACAAAATCATCTTCAAACTTTCATTTCATTTGCCAATTGTGATATGGGTTTTTTATTTTTATTAGGCATATAGTCCCCATTCATCCTAACATCTAACAAGAAGCTAAAGAATTGTAACCTATAATATCTATGTTGCATTTCTAACTGTTCTACATTCCTTCTGAAAGGCATTGAAACACTTGTAATGTGAGTTTCATCTCTCTCTTTTTTAATGTCTTGTCTCACTTTTGTATTTTTGATGTTTCAACTATTGCTACACTTCAGATTAAGATCTGCTAAACTTTGCCTTGCATTGTCTATTTTGAAATTATCTATATATTAATTGTCAAGGCCAAAAATATCATGACCTAGGAAAAATAGTTCTAGGAATGTGCCCATTATGTTAATAGCATATGAGTTATTTGTTACTTGTGAAGGTTAGTAATGATGATGTCATTTCTTTTTTATCTTCACAATTTTTGCTATAATTTTGTCAACTCAAAAAACATTCATATGCCTGTTTTAGTAGTTGCCATAAAAAGGGGGGGGGGGGAAATCTGGAAGAGCAGTGCAGCAGTTTAAAAGCAAAAGTACATTCCAACTCTTATCTTTAAAAGATTGTAACTAAAGGACCAGAGCTTTTGCCGGAGAATATATTTAATTAGAGAACGTGAATGATGACACCCAGCCTGTGAACGGGCTTAATTGGAGAATCTGGTTTATGAGACACCCGGTGGGGAGGGGGAAAATAGGGTCATTGGTGACTGTAAATTACATATGCCAGAGTTGGCTTCATATAGGGCAGTGCCAGTATGTCGCCTCCAATGAATCCTTTGAAGTTTTTTGAAGTTTGAGCGATTGCTGGAATCCTGACAATTTACGATGCTAGATTTTCCTTTTGAGTGTCTAGCAAAATTGTGTTCTAAAATAAATCTCTGGTTCTGAATTCTATGCTACAGTTGGCAATTAAGCTGAATTTTGAAGGTAATGTGAATCATCATCAAACAGTTTTTAACATATTGGACTTATTATATTTTAGCAGATTAAAAATGAGCGATTGTCATTTCTATAATCTGAGGGGTTTTTTTGCTTGGCAGCTCCCTATAATGGAAAAGTCATCACTCCCTGGCTAACCTTTGTACAGTAATATTTTCAATATGGCTAACCTTTGTACAGTAATATTGTATCCCTGGCTAACCTTTGTACAGTAATATTTTCAACATGTATGGCTTTGCACAACTGGCATAGCATTACTTGAATACTTTTTTACACAAACATCAGTTTACACAATTCTTTTAAAAAACATGATTCTCTTAGCGTTACTGTTTTTCTCTATGAAATTATGCCAGTTGTGCAAAGCCATACATGTTAAAAATATTACTGTACATTTTTTTAAACATAGCAATCAGTATGCCATGTCTACTTACTTATTTTCATGAATGAAAGTAAACAAAAATTGAATCACTCCAGAATTTCATTTTTTAATTCTAAAATTTACCTAACAGGAGTCACTAGACCCAAGTTAAATGAAGAATATTATTTGCACACATTGCAATGACTAACATTAAGAAGATCAGGACAATAATAATAATTTAAAAAGCAGATAGAAGAAAATGAGACTTCTTTCAGATTATGATACTTAAAGTACTTTCTGCAGCAAATGTAACAAACTGGAAATATTATTGGGATAAAGATTATCAAACTATGAATTATTTGATTCCTTAGAGAAATTGGATTACGAATGGTTGAAGGTGCTAGACAGAATATGTTAAAAAGATACAATCAAGTGATACACTGATTTAAACCTAGAAACTTTAAACAAAGTTGAAAATCAACTTTGAAATATTATCAAAAGAGATCTAAATTTATAAAGTCTCTGAAAATTGTATATAATTGAAGAGGGGAAGATAGAGGTGCAATTTTCATTGTTCATATTATCATTTCTATTGTTGTGGAAACTTTAGTCTTCTTGACGTTTAAATGCAATCCAGCTTTTTTACTTTCTTCCTTCATTTCTAAGATAAATTATTTTATACAATCTTCATTTTCTGCCAGTAGAATGGTGCTGTCTGCATATTTCAAAATATCAAAATTTCTGCTACCAAATTTGATTGCAATTTCTGATTCTTTTAAATTAGAAGTTACCTCAAAATTGTCCCAAAGGTGCTTTTCAAAAGGCAATTGGGTTTTGTTTGTTTGTTTGTTTTCCTTGAAGAAATTGTGCTTCTTATCTAAGAAACTTCTTCAGTTCTGACTGAATGGTGAAGAATAGAAAGATTTATATTCCTTGTAATCATCATTTGGTCATTAACACTCTGAAGGTTAGCTCTCTGAGAGTTATAGAGGCCATTCTGTATCCTCAGGGTCCCCTGAATCGGAATGCAAATGGGTGTGGAACCTTCTCTAAAGAACTTGGAGAATTACATCCTAAGAATCATTTTCTAAATGCCTCTGGATCTTTTCTTCCTTCTGGGCATATAAATAATGCATTTCTGAAGATTTTTCACAACTTGCCCTTCGTTTCTACCATTGGGAACATTGGAGAAGATTAGAGCAGCGATCCAATACACCTTTATACAAACAGCTATTTGACACAAAATAGGGCTGTTGAAGAGGGGTAAGAAATGTTTCATTTTTCTATGAAGTACAAGTGAACATAATTTTTCCTGCAAGATTTTTTACAGCTTGAGGACATGAAATACTTTTTGTTTTGTTGTTGCTCCTTTTCTTCAGCAATGAACGTTACATTTGGCAATGAGTGCTTTTGAGAGATAGGGAGTGGAATAGGCCCTTCAAAATTGCTTCTTTGTATTAATAAATAGATGTACACACCAGTGCAGCCTTGTTACACACCTTTTCCATTTTAAAGCAGTCTGTATTCAAGTTGTTATGATCGTGAGTTGCATATGCAGTAATTAATAAACAAGCCTATGAATATGTAGGAGAAAGAAGTATTTTGAAAGATGTATTTTAATATATTTAAAGAGAGCATAATATCCCTCTATAGCTCTTCAAGGACTTCAGTTTTAGTATGTAGACTACATATATAAAACAGGATTGTTGCTGGAGCCTCATGTTTCCATGTCAAAAAAGACAAGATGAGAGTTCCTCTTCCAACTTTTGAATACTCTTGAAAAGTTATTAAAAAACTTGAGATTAAAGTACACAACAAAAACACATCCAATTGAAAATAGTTTTTTCAGCAGCTGAGCAGGGAGTTTGGCTGTAAAAGCATAGAGAAATTTATCTTGGAGGAAGGGTAATTTGTTTGGCTTTAATCTGAATTTCCTCTATCCACCATGGGGACCTCTTCCTATAAGCGGAGTCATCAAAACACTTCTCCTTATTGACCAAAAAAGTTCATTTGAATGAAGGCTCTGAAATCTCAAATAATAGCTGCTTTATTTTGTAACATGAGGAACAAAGAAGTCAGTTTCTTTCAGAAAGACCAACATTTGGTTTTTAATGAGTCTGTCCAAGGAGCAAGGGTTTATAATAGTATTTAGATTATACACTTGCAAAATAGAATAGTCTGCATAACTTAGCTATTAATTCAGAAGATGAACTTCATCCTTGTCTAAATTTTTCAGTTATATTTAAAGACTGAAAATTGAAAGGGGAATGCAAAATAATATTGCAGGTCAGATAAAGCAAATACATTGAATTAGAAGGGAATTCCAACATTAATTTTGCATATAATACCATTTTGCATATAAAGCTATAGTCCTAATATTAAGGTTTTATAGTTTAAAACAAAATATTTAGTATAATCATTTCTAAAATTATAACTTTATAAATATAGCTAATTTTCAAAGGAATTTTAATTTCTGAATTCCTGATATGAGATTCCTGATGATAACACGGTGGTTAAAATCAATGAGATATTTAACTACTGTTAAGATTAGAGAAATTTTAGGAAAAAGTAACAATTTTTTTCAGGGTTCCTCAATCTTTGTGGACTTGTTGACACATTTGCAATGTTATAATTTGTTCTGAGAATTATACACATTTAGAAAATGGTGGTTTAAGAGGGTTATTATATAATATTATATAATATAGGAACTGGACATGGCTTACAGGAACTGGGTACGGCTAGTCAAGTGAAGAGAAGGACCAGGAGAGAAACGATAGCAGTCTTCCAATATCCGAGGGGCTGCCACAGAGAGGAAGGGGTCAAGCTATTTTCTAAAGCTCTTGTAGGCCAGACAAGGAATAATGGATGGAAACTGAACAAGGAGAGATTTAACCTGGAAATAAGGAGAAACTTTCTGACAGTGAGAACAATCAACCAATGGAACAGCTTGCCCTTGGAAGTTGTGGGAGTGCCATCACTTGAGACTTTCAAGAAGAGATTGGACTGCCATTTGTCAGAAATGATGTAGGGTCTCCCGCTTGGGAAGGGGGTTGGACTACAAGGTTCCTTCCAACTCTGATTACCTGTTAAATCTGTTGAAATATTTTATTACTTTATAAGTTTGTAAAAGGAGGGATGGGTTGTATAATCAGTTTCTCAGAATAAAGGAAGTGCTTTTTCAAATAATTTGCAAATTTGATTTCTGACTATGGAAATATAATAAATAATAATCAACTCACAAATTTTATCATCTTAATATAAATGTCACAAGATAAATCAAAATCCATCTTTTTTAAAAGGCTTCAAAATTGGTTTGGGTAAATCATGCAGAACTAATAACATCTGTGATAAGTAAATAGAAATCATATTTAATAGCAGTATGTTTTGGGAAGTAGATAGAAAGTACATAGAAAAACATGAAGGTGCGTTCTTGTAGGTTTTCCAGACATGTTATTAAATCTATTTTTGGCAGAGAAAATGTTAAATTATATTGACTTGATGCAGTCCAACAAAAGAAGTTATGTAAATAAGCAATTTGCTTATTGAAATGTTAGAAATATATTGCTTTCTTGGTTATTTTTTAAAAAATGTTCTAGCATAGAAGAAACATTTTATGCAAAATGGAAGGCTTGCAAATCATTGTGACAGAATGTCTAGATTTTATAATCAGACTGTAAACAGTCATTACTTGATTGTGTTGAAATATGAGGAAATACTAATGTTAGTTTGTATAAATGCAGGAATATGTTGTATGTTTAAATGACTTGATATTTTATATGTTTTAAAAGACTTGAAGAAACTACCTGTTTACATCTTGTTACAAATGTATTTTATTCCATAGCTTGTCCAAAAATGTTTAATTGTATGTACAGAGGATCAAAACAGATGGCTGTGACATGGCTATTAAAATCTAAGAAACATGATACCCAAGTATATTTTGCTGAATAAATATTAGGAAAACAATGTAGCCCTTTGCTTGTTTATATTAGTAACTTCAGAAGTATTGATGGTAAAATACAGCATTTTAGGCATTTTTTGTTTTCAAAAGAATTATATTATCTAAATCGTAAATAAGGTGCAAGAAAATATGTGAGGATAGATAAAGAACTACAAAGTAAAAAAACAAGAGAAAGAAAAGTGAATGTAGTTTGACTGTATATTGGTCTGCAGTGCTTATTTTTTCCCCGCATTTGACTTCACTTCATCACTTCATCATCACCAAAAGGTGACAATGAATTGTATCTACATGTTCACTATTAAATGCTTCCGAAAAATGGATAGGGTTTTTGGTTTTGGCTTTGTTTTGTTTTTCGCAATTGTTTAACTAGCCAGTATATATCTCCGAAATATATTTCTGCTGCTAACTAAACCTTTTGGTTCCATTATTTCCTAGATTCATGAGAAATTGCATCACTACGAAAAAAAGAGCCCTGTGCCCATGTTACACGATGCATCAGCTTTGGCAGATGGTGTAAGTGTGTATAAAATGTCTATTGACATCACTGATTTTAAACACTGAAAGCAGTGGATAGAATAAGCATATGAAGTAGATCATCTGAGAAGAATAAAGAATACTTCCCAGAGAACTCTATGGGCATAAGATTTATCATCTTGTTTTGAATTGTATTAAGTCTTTAATTCTAGAAACATGGCATTTAGAATGGTTCTCATTCTGCCTTGATAGCCAAGATAAATTGTAGGCAGTGGTATTTTAACATCTATCTTGAAAGAAAAGTTGTTACCATCTTGTTACTAAATGAAAAGAGTGTTGTTTTCCAAAAATACATAGATATGAAGTAGTTAATAAACTGAGAGAATAAGATAAATTACTAATAATTAAAGAAATGAGATGTCTTTTTTAATTATGGAAGCAATTAGAAATGAAATTATGCCAAAAGGCATGTTATTTACTTTATTGTTGCTATACTTTTATAGTCATTTTTCAAAAATTAAGGAACTAAAAACTAGTACAACTAAAAAATAAAGGAATTAGAACACAAAATGATGCAGAAAATAAAAATAGAAAAAATACTAACATGGTAAAAAAAAAGAAATGAAATATATAAATAATATTTCCCCTTCAACAATTTCAGTAATTTCATCTCCTTTTCTTAAAATTCAACAAATGATCACTTCTTTCCATATCCAATCTCTTAGCTATAAACAAACCCTTAAACCTCATTGGTCAGTCCGTATCAGCTAAGCCTATTAAGGCTTAGAAGAGATAACAACATATCAATTTTAACCTTGATCAAATAAACCAACTTTATATTCCTTCCTTTTGCTTTTAACAATCTTTCAAATAAAGTCCTAGAACTTGATTTCTTTTCATTTTTTGGTTCCTTCTCACAAAATTCTTAAAAGCTTTATGTCTCTTTGTGAAACCAATATAATAATCCAATATATGAATGTTATCCAGGTATCTTTGTTTATTTTTTGCATATCCATTTTAACACCAACTAATTTTATTCATATATCGTTTGTGTATTAGTCATGTAATCCTATTCCATATCATTCTTGTAGCCTGTTATTTTTAAATCCACATTCAGATCAGTTTGTCTTAACAAGTAAAAATTTTTCCTCTTCAATAACATATTTTAAACAGAATTTAATTATAATGGCAGACACTCATAAAATTAACTTCTTGGCCCATTGTTGAAAAATAACTTTCAGTATGCCTATTGTAAGGTATTTTGCTCATCCTGAATTAGCATGTCTACTTTAATTGTAATCTTTAGTTCCTTCTGATTCTCTATTATATCCAATCTTCAAAGCTCCATTCTATTTTTTTTAAATTCAAAATAAAAGTATTTTTCATGTGAAAAATTCTTAGAATGAATTCAACTTTTTTTCAAATCTATCTGGACGCTTAGTCCATTTGTAATTTTCCAAAATCAAAGATCTAATCACCTTTTTGCTGTTGATCCAAAAGGGTTTTTTTAGTTCTTATATTTAACTTCTTTTATGAAGGATTGAAGGAAACTCACTTAGTACTATAAACCTTATCAGTCCTATGGTTCCTAATAGCTGAAAATTATCTGAAAATTAAGTATGGGTAGTCCTTGACTAGGTATTTACTGTTTAATGACTGTTCAAACTTAACAATGGCTCAGAAAGGGTATTTTCAGCTATTATAAAATGCCAGGCATCCCCAGCTCACATAATTGAGATCTATGTGCTTGGCTACCTTTTCATACAATCAGTTGTCAAGTGCCTTATAATCATGTGGTCATAATTTGCAATCTTTTCTGCTGACGTCTTTAGAAAGTCAGTGGGAAAACAGTCGGGAAAAGTATCAGGGTTTCAAGGTATTGTTCCCTGCCTCCCCTCCTCTTCACACAGGAAATGCAGAAATCCTTCATCTGGCTCCAGAAATGAAGTTCGGATCTTTAAGAGTGCAGGAGTTTACCCCACCTCATCCATGCCTGGAAGGGAACTCCTGCGCTGAACTGGAAAAATGAAGTGGGAATCCTGAAGATCCAGGCTCCATTTCTGTGCCACACCACAAGAGTTCCCCTTCTGCTCATGGAGGGACCTTCCTGTTTTCCTTTGTTCTTTTACTTCATCCACTTAACTTATGAAGTTGCTTTACGACTGGGAGAGCCAGGATTTTGCTATTGAGCAAAGAAATCACATGGCATCTCATTGAAACAACCACTTTGCTCACTGATGGAGATTCCAATCCTAATTGTGATCATAAATTGAGGATTATCTACATGCAAACCCAATGTCATTTTAGATACGCCAACCATGGTTTGAGCAAGATTGCTGTTTCTTCATCTCCCAGTCAGTAAATCCATCAGAGACCACACTGGAGAAGAATTATAAAGAGACAGTCTGCTTTCTAATTCTTCATTTCAATCTGTTTATTAGCTCTGTTTTTAGTAGGATTGTCTTCAGTTTACCATTTCTTCTCTGGTGTTACTTAGAATTTTTAGTAATAATATCTTCTGATTGCGTGCATAGTTGTGTAAATTATGACAAAATACAAGGTGCGAGAAAAAATAAACTGATTTAAAGGATAAATACATATAGTGATGCATACCTAATGACAATTTTTGATACAGTGCTGTATTTTTATTGTAGACTGATATTTTCATGTATTTTTATTTAAACATGTCTAAATAAAAGGGAGTAGGGAAGGTGTGAAAATAACAGTTTTGTAATTACAGATTCATAATTGTTGAACTGGATGATTCCAGAATACTAGCTCCTATGATCATGAATTTACAAAAATAAGTTCTTTCCTGTAGCATCTGTATTGTTGTATAACAAGAATGCGGTCATTGTTCTATGAACTTAGAGCTTCTTGCTATATTATCTAGATCACTACTTTGGATTATATTCTGACATAGTTGAGTTAATTTTCAAAGACTGTTCAGGCTTTTGAACGCTTGAATATCTGGTGATTTGACTCTTAGCTACATTTCTGTGATTCACTTGTCATACACTAAACAAGACATTTGCTTCTTGTATACAAACATAATAAAATCTGGAGTAGTAACACAACAGAAATGCATGATTCTGCATTCCAGCTCTAAACAAAAAAGCTACTGTGGGTTTTTTGGAAGCAGTATATTTCATCTCTTCACTTACAAGCTAGTTTTTATAGACAGCTATAAATTTGATCCAACCATTTTTACAAGCATTGCTTTGTTTGCATGCAAAGGACCATTCACTTAGATGAGTGTTCTGGGATTTGCTCTCATTGCTATAAATCAGAATGTGATCTGGGTGCTGCTGCCAGAAATGGTCAACCTAAGTCAAATTCAGTTGAAAGACTTGCCCAGAATATAGTGCAAAGAACAGAAAATGAAGAGCAGTGATTGATTATCTGTTTTTCTTCATGCTAAAACTACTTGAAAGTAATAAATTTGAACAAACTGATTTTGGGTTGTCATCAACACATTGAATAAAACAATGCATTCGCTAATATTCTTTGGGTCATTTTAATTTCCTTCACAGCTGGCTGAAGAACTACAGAATAAACCACTAAACAACGAGATCAGAGAACTCTTGCAGCTGCTATCCAAACCCAGTCTCAAGGTAAGGGTGTGTGGTTTGTACCTGTTAACCTGCAGAATTGCTCGCTCATCAGTTTTCAAAGTACGGTGACATTTCTATGAACATTCTTGTGTCCGTATGTATGTGCAGAATTGCTAGAATAAAATGCTGAAGGCAGAGAAAAAGATTTATAATATAATGCATTCATTGCAACTTAATGATATATTTTGTATCTTATACCATATAGACAGATTAAAAAGCAATAAAGTATTAAAACATAAATTTCTAGCAAAAAATTCATTTCATTGCTACCATCCAAAATCTGTATATGAAAGACTGTCTTTATTGCTATTAAGCCAAATCTTGCTACGTTCTTAGAGTAATATCAACTTTGGAAAGGATCTCAGAGGTCATCTAGTTCAAGTGCTTGTTCATTATGCTAAAGCAGTTTGGATAAATGGCCATCCGGTCTCTATGTGCAGATCTTACTGTGGTGCAAAACAGATCCAAAATTTACCAGACAATTGAAGAGAATCCAGTCAGCTTATTCGATCCTGTAAGTCATTCAACTGTGTCTTACAGCAAGGAACCTTCGAGTCAAATTAACATAAATGTATATGTAAATGTGTTACACACATAAAAGCTCTCAGTAAGTGGTGGGATTCAAATTTAACAACTGGTTCTCCCAGGGTCTAGTTGGTTGTCATGGGAGGCATGGTCCATCTCTATCCTCCAGCTCTGCTGCACATGCAAGACGAGCCTCCCGCAACAGCCAACCTGACCCTGGGCGAATCAGTTGTTAAATTACCCTTCCCCAGCTATCAAATGGATCCTGGGCACTGCAATGGAGAAACGGGCAATAGAGTAGCCAGCACAAGGGAAAGAGGAGGAGCAGGGAGAAGAAAGAAGGAAAGTGGCCTTTTCCTTCCCACACACCAGCCACTCTGCTGCCCATTTCTCCATTGAAGCAGAGCGCCCAGGATCTACTTTGATAGTGAGGGGGGTTAATTTAACAACATGTTCACCAGAACTGGTGCAAACCAGCTGAATCTCACCACTGCTCTCACTGAATCTGCATTTCTTCCTTCACCTTGGTTTGTAAGTGTGAAATGCCATTGCAGTTCTTGCAGTTCGAATATTGGGCTCTCACATTGTATAAGCCATAATGTCATTTGTTTTGGCATAGCAGTTGTGTAGATCTGCCCAAATGAAAAGTAAATAATATATGAACTTTACCAATTGTAATATATTAAGTAAAGGAAGGATAAATAAGCCATGGTTTATTATGTGTTAATCCAATTATTGTGTTGGGTCTCGATTCACCCTTATTAACCTCTCGCTGGTTTTCATTTCAGCAAGAGCTAAGTTCAGTTTGTATTACTAACTAACTCTGAATTCAACTATGCTATCATTCATACAAGTACACAAATTTATCTGGCTTAGGAACTAGGCAGGGTGGGGTCCATCTAGTAGGAGACCTTTAAGAATTACAAGACTTGTTGGCTAGACATGGAAATGACAACCTCATATTTCCATATTTAATATTGCTGCCAAGAAAATTATTTGAATATGTCCATCATGTGGTCTTGAATCCAGTTGATTTTGAAAAAGAATTCACCTTTTCAACTTTTTCAAATTTATCTGGTAAGTTCTTCCTTGCTAAGCCCCATCATGTGGTGATGATTGTTCTTGGTTTAGAGTGACCTAGTTTGGGAGATTCTTAGTTAATTGGTTTTTGCAGTTTCTGCTGAAGTAGACGTTTCTCCTTCCAAAATATGTGGATTAAAATTAAAGTTGTGAAAAACAGTAGAAACAGTATGCTTCCTAAATGCAATTTGGTGATGTACATAGGCCAAAAGCATAGCATTCAGATGAATCGTTTGAGGCATTACAATGATAATGGGATTGGTTTGTATCCAAAGGAAAATTGGCATGTGTGTGGCTAATGTAGAATGCTTTCCTGCATCAGTGTTAATAACAACTGAAGCATTGCTGCCTCGTGCGATTAGCAGTGCACTGAATTAATTTTATGTTTTAGGAAAGAGAAAGAGCTTTATTTATCAGGGTGAAATGTTCCAATTTGGTTCCAGTTGGTGAATGATTTTTGGGAGTATTTCAGGAAAAGCATAGACTTCTTATATCACAATTGTTAGATAGTTGGCAGTCAGGTTGCTGTAGATAAATTTGAAAATCAGTGCAAATATATCAAGTAACAAATCTTAAATTTTGAGAATGGCAAAAAGCTAAAAAATGAATCACGCGGTCTTTGGGTTGCTCAGGAAAGAAAACCAGAACAGTTGAATCCTTAAAGTAATACAGAGTTTAAAAAAAAAAAAGTAGAGTTATTTTTATGGAACAATGGAGGTGTTTTTTTTTTTAACTTTTATGCTATCTTGTTCTTTTCCCTGCTTCAGCAGAGTAGTTTGATTCCCATGCAATTTTGTTATCTTACTGGTTATAGTTGCTTACTCATTTCCAGTAAGTTGTTTAATGAAATAAATTTGAACACAATATGGGTATATGCTGGACTACTGTCATATCATGCCAAAACATACTGTAAATCTTTATGTTTAAAAGTTTCTAAATGAATACTGTACAGGTTAGTCCTCAACTTACGACCACAATTGAGCCCAAAATTTATGTTGCTAAGTGAGAAATTTGTTAAGTGAGTTTTGCCCCATTTTTCTACTTTTCTTGCCACATTTGATAACTGAATCCCTGCAGTTGTTAAATTAATAACAGCAGGGGTGGGATTCTCCTGGTTCGGACTAGCTTGGACGAACCCCTAGCTCTGACGATCAGCTGGCAGCAAACCAGTTTGCTCCAACGATCCCCTCCTGCGCTGTGCTTACCTATATCCTCTCAGCTGATTGCCGCGGCAGAGTTGATTGCCTTTCGTCAGCTGTGTTATTTCCCCAGTAGTAACATAGCAGGTACTTTTTTGGGGGAAAGCTGATCACCAAACCGGTTGTTACACTAGCAGCATCCCACCACTGAGTAACAGGGTTGTTAAGTGAACCCTAACAGAATAACAGAGTTGGATGGGATCTTTTAGGTCATGTAGTCCAAGCCCCCACCCTAACAGGAGACCCTGTACAGTTCTGACAGAAAGCGGTACAATCTCTTGTCAGAAGGTCGCAAAAGGGGATTGCATAACCCTGGGAGGCTGCAACTGTCATAAGTGTGACTCAGTTGTCAAGCATTCGAATATAAATCCCATGACCACGGGGATGCTGCAACGGTCATAAGTGTGAAAATGGTCATAAGTCCCCTTTTCAGGGACTGCTGTTGTAACTTCAAACAGTCACTGTTGTAAGTCAAGGACTACCTGTAGTCACCTAGCCTGCATGTATGTATGTCCATATGTATCAAGACCAAAAAAAAATCTTTCCCTTTCTATTTATCTACTATGTCTGTCTGTCTGTCGCAAAACAATGCAAAGTTTATTTTGTTTTATTCCCAGCAATTATTCTTCCTGTTATCCTGTGTTGTTCTTCTGTTTTACTCTATACTCAGTTCTATTTTATTTACTATTCTATAGTCTGTCCAATTATTCCAATACTGTGTTCTAAATAAAAAAAATACTTTTAGCATTCTTTTTTACAACATGTAATTATTTAAATTATCCAAATTGTTTTTCCTTTGGTCCAATTCTCCTAATCCTTTCTGCCCACACTGTCCCATAGTTGTGTGACTTCAATACAGGTAGTCCTTGACATGACCACAATTGAGCCCCACATTTCTGTTAAGTGATACATTTGCTAACTGAGTTAAGCCCCATTTTACGACCATGCTTACTTCAGTTGTTAAGTGAATCACTGCAGTTGCCGGTTCTGTGAATCTGGCTTCTCCATTGACTCTGCTTGTCAGAAGGGTGTAAAAGATGATCACATGACCTTGGGACACAGCAACAGTATTAAATATTAATCAGTTGCCAAGCATCTGTATTTTGATTACATGATCATGGGGAGGCTGCAAATGTTGTAACTCTGAAAAACAGTCATGAGTCATTTTTTTCAGTGCTATTGTAATTTTGAACAGTCACTAGATGAACTGTTGTAAGTCAAGGACTTCCTGTAGTCTGGATACTGAATGAAAACTGTTTCCTGGAGTCAACGATAACATCACCAGTCTGATGGTGGCCATAACTCATTTGTCAGGAGTGTTATTTGTTAGGGGCAGGGCCAACTATCCAAATTTCCTGTTATTGTTACACACACCCAACTGTATTTTTTGTTTCAGCTGCCTTTTTGCTATTTATTTCTGTTTCATTTGACTTACCTGTCCTTCAGCTCTCTTATCTTCTATTTTGTGGATTTGTCAAGTTCAAACTGTCAGAAGCCATTTTGTTGTTTCTCAGTTGTCACACATTATGGGGAGCATGAGGTGGTGGTGAAGGAGGCTGGAATACATTGTCAGACACAACACAGAACTGTCTCATGGGAACCAAGATCATCTCCACATATGTCAGATGAAGATGGAGAGGAGTGCCTAAAGAGCCCGCCAATTAACCTAATTGGACAATGTGACGTGTGATACTTGGGGAGGGGATCATTTACTATTTTAACTATTCTGAAACCACGGGGAATATTTAGAGTTGGTTTTACATTTAATCGTGCCAATATGATGTGCCAATAAGTTCTCTGAGAGAGATCTCAGATCTGATTTGCTTGGGTTCGTTAGTCGGAACATTGACGTCTTTTCTATGGGTCTTCTTTGCATAGTTCTTGTTCATTTGCTGAACAATGGCTTCAGTGGCTGCTCTCATCCCATCCCTCCTCGGAGGGAGGGAGCGCAGTGGCTTGCCATTGGCTTATTTTTTACTTTTTCATACAGTATACCCATTAGGTGGCTTATAATGGGCATCTGCTTCAAATTTGCTTCTTCTTTTCAGAATTTGTTTTCAGTTTTTCTCCTCTACCATTTGAAAGCTTTTTTTAGAACTTTAAAAATTGATTAACTAGATGTTGCTACAGCAGTATCATCTGTCATGCTTACTATACTGTTGGAGATTTTTAAAGACTCTCTAATTTAATTGTTTTTATTTGAAAGACTTACTGATGACCTTCTGTGGGCTCAAAAAACAGCAGGATCAGGCACAGTTAATACTTGGAAGGAAGACTTTCAGGGATTAACAGGACTGTAAGCTAGACTGGAAAGCTAAAAAAAATATGGCAGCCACCTTTGTATCATGTTTATGAATCATCAAGAGATTTTTCTGTTTTAAGTAAGTGGATCTGATTAAATAATTTTCAAAATCCTTCTGAAAGTATGGTTTGAATTAGAAAGGGAGGAAAAAGAGGTGCCATAGAAAAGAAAATAAGTACTGTAACCAGATGACATAAAGTAGCTGCTTCTTTGAGTGGATATTTAAGAATATGTAGACTCCTGATATTAACAATCCAAAAAAGAGGAAACTAGTTTAAAGAAGGAAAAAAGAGTTTAACTTCATATGTACTATATCCATAATAGTAAGAGCTTCAGACCAATTCTTCTGGTGCAGAAGAGTAGATGTTCAGTGTTTAAAACTTTCAATGCAGAAAAAAAAATTACATGTAAAAATAGAATTACCATGGTAAGGAAAAATCACTGTAATATTATTCCAAATAGCACTATTTCAGCAGCAGTCATTGTTTTAAAATGGTAAATATATTATGGTATTAAGCTGCAGCAGTAGCTGCGGTAGTTTCTTGTTTACAAAAGAGATAGAATGGTTAAATAGACCTACTATGTATTCATACCTTGATTAATTAATTGTAATACTTTTGGAATGAACATGATGATTGCAGTTTTCTTGAGTTCTGAATTCAGTTTAAGGATATATTTTAATATATTTTCTTACACATTGAAATGATCATTGGTACCAATGCCTTTGCCCAAACAATATCAATTATGTATGGTATGGGCTTTTAAATGTTCTATTTTGATCAGGTATACAAATCCAATAATATTTATATTAGGTTATACAATAATTTGAATCATACTAGCTTTAACATTGTAAATGTGATACATGTTTGTATTAATGAATATGCCTAAACAAAATTTCTTCTGTTCATATGAATGATAGCTTTTAGATGGTGAATCTGGAAAAATAACAATCCTGTGAAGACAAGATCCTTAAAATATACATAACCATTAAACATTTTCTTTCTTTTCATGAACAAAAAGAATCCAGTTTTCTGCTTCTCTTCACTGATGTCTTAGAAGTTTGTATTTGTATTGAAGTTTTGTTAAATTGAACAAATACATCCTTTCTACAATACAGAATGCAGCTCCTTTGATTTTATTCTGGAACAAAGTACTGTTCCTAAGCTGTGAGGGACACTTTCGTGCCAAATCATTGCTGATGAGATGCAAACTGTATCAAGGTCTGCAGCAGTAATGGTAAATTACCAATGCAGATACTTTTTAATGCTTTTTAGTTGACAGTTGTTTTTAACCCACTTTGTTTTTGCAGGCTTTGCTTTCTGTGCACGATATTGTTGCTGAGAAAAGCTATGATCCTGTATTGCCTCCCATGCCTGACGATATTGATAATGAAGAAGATTCTGTGAAAATCATTAGGCTCGTAAAAAATAGGGAACCTCTAGTAAGTTTTAGCACTTAAATAACAATAAGCAGCAGCAATAGCAGTAGCATTTGGCTAATATTCTAAAAATGAGTTGATGGCATCACATGGTTTTGTACTAACCAACAGCTGGACTCCATCCAAGCTTATATTGTTTTCATTCTTTGCCATATAATTCAGGATGAACAGTTAGTCACATTTAAGCCATGCTGATCCTGTGTAGGTAGCTAAAGAAAAAAATAATGGAATCGGGATCCAGAATCTGATTCTATTCTGCATCTTTATTTTCAAAGAGAGCCAAGAAGACCAAAGAGACCATATGTGTTATGTTGTTTTTATATCAGTTTGAAATATCTTATTCACAAGCTGACTTTATGATCTACTGTTTCTTCTGCTCCTTGCATAATCTATATTTTGAGTCATTTGATGATTTTTCAATTCTGCCCTTGATTACATTAGTTCAGATGAACAGCCAAAACAAAGCCTTCAGTTTCTTTTTTTAATTCCAGTTATCAGTCATTTCCAGCTTTTATCTTTTATTTACTTTCCTTCCCCTCCCATGATCAAACAGTATAATAAATCAAATACTTTTTATAATCAATCCACACCATATGTAAATTGGTTTTTTTAGCTTTTGCAGTTCTTCAAAATCAAAATATGAATCAGAAGTTGATCGTTTGTGCCTCTGCATTTCCTTCAATTTCTGTTCTGTTTCATTGAATGGTTATCATTTTCTTCTAAATAATCTTGGATGTTGTTCATTATTGTGCCTGGGAATAATTTAAATATTGTAGTCAAGCATGTTATTGGCCTACAGTTTCCTGGTATGACCTTGTTTTGCTTTTTTTTTTTAAAAAACCCAGTAAGTTCTGCCAATTAATAACCAATCATTGATGTCTCTTATGCAATACTTCATTTAGCTGTTTAGTTATAATTAAATATAAACTGGTAAGATGTTCGATCCAAAAACCATGAAATTGATCATTTCCAAGAGATGTTCAATTTTTAATCATTTTCACTTAATTTTTAACTATTGCTGCTGTTATTATTAGTTCTTCCAATTGATTTTTACCAAATTCAAGATGAATTTGGTAGAAATCAAATGGAAGAACTAATAATAACAGCAGCAATAATTTTAAAAATTTCAACTTACCCCAAAACAGCATCTAGAAAATTGTTTCATGTGGTTCAACTTTAATTTTATAGTAATTCTTAAATTTATTTTTAAAGGGAGCTACTATTAAAAGGGATGAAACCACAGGAGCTGTTGTTGTGGCTCGGATAATGCGTGGAGGAGCGGCAGACCGAAGCGGTAAGAATTTTTAAACTACAGTTACAGATATTGAATGCAGGATTTAATTGCCAACTTTTTAAATGTTAAATCAAGTAAAAACTATTAATTGGATCTTACTGTGTTTTAAAGTATCATGGAATGTAATTCATTTTTTATCAGGTATGGATTATTGGAGCAGATGTACAACCATAATATTGTGTATTGTATTTCATTCATTCATTCATTCATTCATTCGTTTATTTATTGAATTTATATTGTTGCCTATTCACCCATGGTGATGACATTATTATTATTGTTGTTGTTGTTGTTATTACTATTATTATTACTATTATTGCAGTACTTTAAAGAAAAGGAGGGAGAGGATGTTGTCAGTTGGAAAATCAGTTTCTATATCAAGTTATTCCTGCCACTTTACAATAATACTTCACATTTCATGTAGATTGTACACCTAATATATTAATAATTAGAAATTCTGCTTGATAACAAAGAGGTTTTTATAAACTTGCCAAAATAACACAGTATATACAGTATTGGAGAATGTTTATTGAAAAAGAATTTCACTATCTTTGGTTCTGTCTAATGTCATTCCATTAATCAATGAAGTTTCTTCTTCTGAAGATGCAGCTAGCCAATTCCAGTTAGCAGTTTTCAACTCTGCCAAAAGCAATCACTTTCATAATTGCCTCCCAGCCCTTAAAAAAACTAGTTCAGAAAATTTTAGGGGCTATCTGGTGATGAAGTGGTTAGGGAAGTTAATCAGCTTAATGTTGGATATAATCCCTTGTTGATATAGACACACATGAGCACATATACACACACACATATATAAATCATCAGTACACAACTAGGCTTGTGAAGAAGAAAAGCTAATGTTTAGTTGGAAAGAGCATGGCTTGAAAAATGTTCAGGTTGCAGTGGTTCATTTAATATAAGAATTATTTAACTGTTACATAACTGTGTTTCGTAGGTCTCATTCATGTAGGTGACGAGCTAAAGGAAGTCAATGGAATTTCAGTGGCTGATAAAAAACCAGAAGAAATTATACAAATTCTGGTAGGTTGAAAATAAAATATTTAATTTAAAAATGCAGAAGATTAATTTTTCAATATTGATGTTTTTGATGCAATTGTCTGAAGTTCCTACTAGATGTTTATAAAGAAAAGAGTATAAAGCAGTCTCCATAAAAAAGTGAAATGACTAAGTTACTTTTTGATAAAAAAAGTACAAAACTAATAAATGTATATTCATTTTACCTGCATAAAATATAAAATAGATATATTCAGACCAACACAAAAAATACTTATTTAAAATAAGTCTCCTCCCAATGTTGTTCCTTAGGTTAAATTTTTCTCTCCATAGTGCAAAAAATTGGGTCATATCATACCTGAAAGATCTGTTACTGGCTTTTGGAGAAGTTATACACTCTTGAGTTAATTAATTATTTCTATTCCGTGCAGACTTAAGATTCAAGGAAATAATTTATTGAGTAAATCTTTATAATATGTTTATGGTATATATCTGATAAATAGCTATCATCTTCTAAATTATAAACAAATTACATAATATTATATAAATTTATAAAACCCTCTGATAGAAAAGAGAGATTTAATGCATGTACAATAGATCAAAATTGTTTGCTATAAAAGAATAGGAATTGAACTGGAATCAGATGCAGATTCAATTTATTATGTCTTCTGTTTTGTTTTTAACTATATAATTTAGTAATTTATATTTACATATTTTAGTCTCTGTCCCAAGGAGCCATTACATTTAAGATTATACCCAGTATCAAAGAAGAAAACTCATCAAAAGAAGGCAAGGTAAACACTTGTTGGATTCAACTAAGATTCTTCATGTGATGGCTGTGTAAACTTACTTGCGCGCACACACTTAAATGGCTGTTCAATCTATATATATATAAAATTTTATCACTATATTAAACTTATTTTATAACAAGCAACAATAACAACAAAAGAATTCCTTAGATTTTAAATAACTCCGTGTAAAAAAATGTATTATTTTCTGCAGATCTTCATGAAAGCTCTTTTTGACTATAATCCCAGTGAAGATAAAGCAATTCCCTGCAAAGAAGCTGGACTTCCTTTCAGAAAAGGTGATATTCTTCAAATCATGAGCCAAGATGATGCAACCTGGTGGCAGGCCAAGCTGGAAAGTGATGCCAATCCCAGAGCAGGCTTAGTTCCTTCAAAACACTTCCAGGAAAGGTATGTTATTACTGAACTGAGTTTCTATCCCCAATCCCCAACACTTAAAAATGTGATCAGTATAACTATTAGAGCTGTTCTGGAATGCAGGATAAAGCCTGAACTTGGTATGCCGGCTAGGGAATTCCGTGAGTTCTTAAAGTAGCCAAGTTTTAAAAACAATGGTTTAATTGGTTATTATTCAGCTGCTTATATTGATAATGATAAACGTGACAGAACATGATAATCTTGTTTGTGAGAATAAAACAGATGGAAAAGACGACACCAGTATCTACACCAATACTTGTAGAATGTGCTGATGTGTTAAGACAATGTTACCACTTCCTTAAAAAGAAGACGACTCCAGAATTTATTTTAGGAGAATTTAAATAAACTGCTCTGTTTATTATAATGTCTTTTAAAATTCTGGGTGATTTAAAAAAAAAAAACTCCACACAAAAATACAGATAGTCCTCGACTTACAACCATTCATTTAGTGACAATTCAAAGTTAAAACGGCACTGAAGAAAGTGATTTATGACTCTTTTAAGATCATTGCAGCATTTCCATGATCAAAAATTCAGACGCATGGCAACTGACTCGTATATATAATGATTGCGGTGTGCTGGGGGGGTCATGTGATCAACTTTTGTGACCTACTAACAAGCAAAGTCAGTGGGGATGCCTTATTTATTGAAAAACCCTGTTACTAGCCTAACAACTGCAGTGATTCACTTAACAACTGTGGGAAGAAAGGTCTAAAAATGAAGCAAAACCATGGTCTTGCTTAGCAATAGAAATTTTCAGTTCAATTGTGATCATGACTTGAGAACTACCTGTACATATTTATTAATACCAAAAGAGCAGTAAAAATAAAAGAGCTTAAGTTTTGTTTTCTTCCCCTTCTCAAATTACTTGATAGGAGACTTGCTTTAAGAAGATCAGATGTACAATTTCGGCCCTTGAAGATTTCAAATAAGAAATCATGTAAGTCTGTTGCTACACAACTTGCTTTTTGCATTTACAAATTACTTAGGTCCACCCAATAAAGGAATGATGCTATTCATTCTTTAGACCCAAACCTCTCTATAGTATAAGAAAAATTGCTGGTTTTGCTTCTGATACCAGACCTTAAAGTATATACTTTTACTATGATAAAGAAAAGAAAATAAATGTAGGAAATAGATTGTTTCCTCAATCATTTAAACCACAGGTGTCAAACTCACCGCATCACATTGCCTTCACATGAGGTATCATTTTTGCCTTTGCAGAGTTGGGGTGGGCATGATCCGCGCTTGATGCATCTGGCCCGCAGGCTGCCAGTTTGACATCCCTGATTTAAAAAGCTCTATTAATGTACCATTCTTTTTAAAATTCCAGGTTAATTAGTTTTAATTCCAAAAAGAAACATTCTGTAATGTAGTTACTACTAAATTGTAAATATGCACTATTTTAAAAAATAATTGTTATGATAAAAATATTTATCACATCTAGAGTCATATCATATTTGTGTATTGCTTTTCCACTTCACTGACTGAACGTTGTAAATAAATGCTATATTTCCACTATTCTTTTCCATGCTGGAGTTGGTAGAAATACTTCATCAAGCCTATTATTATTCTATTTTCCTAAAGCTTTTGTTCTATAGTGTGAAAATATTTAATTTTTGTAATTAATCTTTGGTTTATTATGTTCTCATTCTCATTATCTACCTAGGCACTATGTTCCATGTTTCGCCAATTTTCATTTTGTCAGCTTCCAAGTTTGATGATAGGATATATAAGAAAATAAGAGGTTGAAAAACATGGATAATTTGATGAAGCTAAGCCAGCCATGCTTAAGAACAAATTCCATAAATCAATAAACATTTTGAGATCAAGAGATGCTTAATCTTATTTTCCTCATGCTATCAGAAATAGAAATAAGTAAATAAAAACTTCCATTAATATATGTCTTATTATCACTAGCACTGTTGATATTACCTAGTTTGGATAATGAAATGTCTACAAGAAAACAGCCACGCTCAGAACACCAAGGGACTCCTATATGAGTTATCAGTCAGGATTCGGGCGATTGCCCTAATTAACTCATGAAAAAGGAATGCTTTACGAGTTGACATTACGCAGGAAAGAACAATAATGATACCAGCCTACCAAGCAGTCCAGCCTCTAGCACAGGGCTGTCAAACTCCTAGCCTGTAGGCAGGATGTCTCACATGCTGGCCAAGCCTACATCAGTTTAGCAAAGGGAGAAAAAGTCCCCAAAGTTCGCTGTGATGACATGAGTTTGACATCTCTGCTCTAGCATTTGTTCAGCTGTTACTAATGTTTCATTGAAATTCTGGATTTGAAGAAATAAATTGTGTTGATTTTCAGACAAGGTTTGAACAGTAACTAAGCCCAGAAATTGATTAATCATAAATTTCTGGAAAATACAATCACACCCCCCCCCCCAAAAAAAAAGAGTTCAGAAACTTATCAGGCCTCACAAAGGACTAACCTTTGTTTCATATAGTAGCCCCTAGTACCTAGATTCATGTATGTAAATATGTGGTGTCCCAATTGCATGTTATCCATTTGATGGTTTCTCCTGAGGACTTGGATCTATAGTTCTTACAGTCATTCAGCATAATCATCTTTTCTTTTTGTTGTGGTTATTTTAGATCTCATGTGCCCTTTCAAGAAATAAAAACAGTTCATCATTTGGCCAGATCTTATCTCATGAGCAGATGTTAAATTCAAGGGGCAATATTCAAACAAGACTTAAAATTACATATTTTATTAAATCTGAGAGTAAAACCAAATCTATAAGCTGGCATAGCTGATAGCAAAACTTCTATTAAATTTAAAATCTGTTAATTCATTTTTCTTGTAAAATACTGTCTTGTTCAGTTAGCAAAATGTCCCTTTTATCTCAAAAATGATTCTTTCCTCCTGTTACTGAATTGAGATTTTTTTCATGTTTACAATTATAGCAAAATAATTTTAGTCTGATTTTTCCCCTTCAATTTGATGAGCACCATGCTTCTATCATAAGTATTCTCTTTTTAAAAACATAGTATTCACCCTTTGATATTTTCTTGCACAAATTGTTTTTGTGACATAATTGTAAAGTTTATGTTTTGAAAATGCTTTATTTATTGCTGTCACTAAATTGAATCATGTCTCTAAAGGCTTAAACTTTGTCTAAGATCCTAAAGTTGCACTACAATTGAAAGATATTTTTAATGCTTTGTGTACACATGGTCTAGGTTGATTTATGATCTTAGTGGTTTGATACTCAGTAATAAAATATATTATAAATTAAAAGATACTTTGACTTTTCCTAAAGTTTATTGGAAAAATATTATACATCACCCATGCCTTCCAAATGGTGCATGTGTGGAAAATTCTTAGTTTTTCAGAAAAAGGAATTGGACTGGAAATGTTGTTTGTTCTACATACATAATTATCTGTCTGATCCCTCAGAAGACATTTGTACTTTAAAAATAAATTGTGTCAATGTCTTTTTAAATAATGCATGGGACATTTGTTTAATCACACTCTTTTATTCATTTCATTCCCCACCCTCTTTTTTGCATATTAATTTTCCTTTTAATTCTGTAGAGAGCATGGTAGTCCCAAGCTGCTTTTTCCAAAAGGCAACAGAACTTTCTTGGTTTTTTTTCCTTTGAAAACATTTCATTTCTTACCAGGAAGTTCTAAATCTTGAGTTCTAAATTAAGCTAAAACTGAACCGAAAAAGCTTATTGGATGAGAAGTGAAACATATTCAGAGAAAAGAAGAAGAAAGTCCAAGTGTCTTGGAATTCTTTTCACTCATTCTAACAAAATGAGCTCCAGTATAGCAGGAATTGCCAAATTTGCCCTATTGCCAAATATTAGTTGACAATTCATTGACAGCTCTAAATATGGAAACAATAAACATCTTACAGAAAAACAGGTACCGGGTTCCCTGTTAGGAACTCTTTGTACAGCCCTGGCCTTAAGGAATTTGAACATGTTATTTGACTTCCAGATCATAAGGGGGGCAGTTAGGTAATGAATTTATGATATAATTGTGTGATTGAAGGTGCCATAATATTAGTATAATACTCTTGGTAGTTCAACATCATACTTAAAGTAAACAAATAACTATTTCCGCCAAAAAAAAAAAAGCTACCTTCTCTTCTGTCTCAGCTGAATGCTTTGTTAATGAGAGAAAACAGATTCTGGCAAATTAACAGGCTAAGCATTTCTCTAGTAGCGGCTGTCCCACAACAGATGTTTCATCAATTAACAAGAGCAAACTTTGGGAACCTACTTCCCAATGAAAACTACTTAGAATTACGTTCTTAATGCATTCTCAATGCTACTCAATTATATGTTTTCTTTCATAGTTTTTTTATTATTTGCTGAAAATATTATTTTAAATAAATCATGTCTGCTTGTTTGTTTTTTGGCTCTTCTAAGCTGAGGAAACAGTTGAGTGTGGTAGGTGTCTTTCTTCTGCATTTTAAATTTTTCATTCTTTTACTGTGTTCTCAGTCTGTGTAATTTTGCCTCCTGTTTTTCCCCTTTTTTGCTTTTCAGGGAAAATTGAAGGTACACATGTACATTTCGCTGCTTGGTGGTAGAGATGGTCTGGAAGCTAGATTAATTAAGGCATCTCCACTTTAGAAGCAATTAGTAAAATAAATGTGGCTTGTAACCGCATATTTAGTGATACAGACTAGCAATTTAGATATTGCAATACAGTTCCAAATCTGAGCTGTCGTGTAAGCAAGGTGGCCATATGAAAGGTAACATGCACGCATGAGGATAACTGTGGGGTAAGGCATGGGGTATTACTCATTGCTGGATGTGCCTTTTCTATTTATTATATTCCCTCCATATTCTCTTCCCACCTAACAGTGCTCTGGAAAGAAAAAATCATCCTGTAGAAATATGTTTTGGTATATGGATTGAATTTGCAGGCTTTGGCTTAATTTGTTGTAATTTATTTGAGTGTTACTGAAAAAAAACCCATAAGATAATAAGCAGGTGCATTCATTCAAAACACCACAGTTGGCTAAAAGATAGAGTCGTTGCTGTTGCATGATTCTTTAAAAAGTCTTTTTCCATTGCAGATTTCAGCGACATAATTTTAGAACCTATTTTGTCAATTTACAGGGTTTTTTTTCCTTCTTTTTAAACTGCTGTACTGCTGTCATTTGCAGAATACATAACAATTGCAAGTCATTAATTCACCAAATCAACTGTTTGTTATAACTAAAAAAACTACAATCTGCTTTGTCAAGAGAGCTCTGGCATATTATGACAAGCGTGAAATATTTTGGATTGAGCAAATGGGCTATATGTTCATCAGAAACCCTTTCTGTCTGATCCATTGAGCCAAACATAAAACTTCTTTGATATTCTTTGTAAATAATTTCATATTTGCTTCAGCTACTATTTTTACCTTCTGCTAAAGCTTTAAATTTCTATCACAAAAAGGCAATAAAGCCACAGAGTATGCATGTTGCTGTGTTGAAGAACCTCTTACTCAACTATAGAAAAATATGCTGATTTATTTTTAAACAATGATTTATCGAAGGCTTTTCATGCTAAGCTTTATACGATTGTCATTCTGAAGTAACACTTCCTTTGCATTTATGGCTGGGCATCTAACTATTCTGCTTTATTTCTTGGCTTTTGTTCTGTATGCTTTTACACTTCATCCAGAGGAAGTTGAATGTGCTGGTCACAACAGTGGAGCCCTTATAGGTGAGCCGTTGCTTACATAAGACTCTTTTCTTTCCCAGCTTTTTCCTGGATGGGCTACAAATTTACAGGTAACAAATTGGCATCACTGCATGCTTTAAAACTATTAGAATAAAAAATGGCTCACTGGATTGGACACAAAGGCTCAATCTATTAAAAGTAATCTATTTTATTAATTTAGAAATAGGGAAATTATTGAAATATTTTCTTTAATTTGTGAAGAAAGTGACTTATTTTTTTTTAGAAT